TTTTTTTTTTTAAATAGAATACATCAAACACCATGGTATTTTGACATTGCCTTGACCCCATCCAGCTGCTCTCTCATTTGTGCTTCACAACAGGACAGGGAGAAAAAATATCGATGAAAAGCTCATGGTCTGGATAACCTCAATTAAGAAAACAAAACTGTGACTGCAAACAAACTAGAAAAGGGAATTTATTCACTCTTTCCCATAGGTGGGCAGACTCCCAGTCACCTTCTGGTAAGCAAGGCATCAGGATATGTAGCAGTTGCTTGGAAAATCCCCCTATCCTCTCCCTTAGCCACAGGTGCTGCTGCTGAACTGGATGGGTTTTGGTGTGGATTAGCTGTTTGGTGACTTCAGGTCAGCTGTGCCAGCTATGTCCTCTCCCAGCCTCCTCCCTACCCTCAGCCTGGTGGCCTTTGGGGAGAGAAGGGTTGGAGAGACAGCTTTGAGGCTGTGCAAGAACTGCTCAGTAGTAGTAAAAACATTGGTGTGTTAACAACATTGCTTCAACCATAAATACATGGCATAGTAAATCCTGGAAAGGCCACTACAAAGTTAACTTAGAAAATATATGCATAAACTGCTGCAGATTTTTACTGATTATAATAGACTATGGAGACAAACAGAGATTTTTATCTTCTATTATGTAAAGATAAGAAAAACAATCTGCTTTTACAGGTGGTATGTAAAGATAAGAAAAACAATCTGCTTTTACAGGTGGCATTGTTATAAATTAAATACATACCTTCAGGCACTTTTTTTTTTTTTTTTTTCCTTAATAAGAAAAAAAAATAAAATTTAGGTCCAGGCTCTTCACCAACACTATTTTTGCTTCTTAAACTGTTACCTGAGAGGATTTCAAGGCCTGCAGAAAAAAGCTCAGAAGTGACACCACGAATTTCAGTTTCATCAGGAATAGGAGGATGAGGGGGAAACAGACTCCTGCTACTATCAGACAGTGCTTCCAGGATGGCGAGGAACTGAGCTGCAGCACCATCAAACATTTTCACCAGCAGCCGCTCAGTAGTGGTGCGAGGCCATGACAGCTACGTAAGAAAAGGTAAGTTAAGCCTTGTGACACCTTAACCAACTTGCAATAAAGCAAGATTTTTTTCAAAACATTTCTCCATCAGAAAGTAACTACGTGTTCAAAACAGAAAATAACGTAATGTAAAGCATATTGCTGTTATTAATGTCATGCTTCAAAGGCAGAGCAAAGCCTCACGCTAAGCAGGTACAGTACTTAGGAAGACTAATCATTTCATAGTAACCAGACACACTGCTGCATGGTATTTTACTTCAAAAATAGTACAATAGAAATTATGAGGGAAAGTGTTAAGGCCATGTAGTTTAAAGTCATGTAGATCTTTCCTGATAATTTTCTACAGTAATAATTAGTAACATCTTCCCTACTTTCAAGCTTGTTCTGAGTTTTATTAATAAATTCTGTTAATTATGAAATTGAAAATATAAAACTTTCGGCTTGTATATAGCATCATATGTATTTAGAAGAATTATGGTTTCATCACATGACAGTAGTAAAGGAAGAGAAGGATTATATGAAATGTCAGACTTACATTTACTGCTTTTCTCGGGTTAGCTTTTGGCTCATGTCGAAAGCTGTTCGACTTTCTTCTGGATTCATATACTGCTCTCTTGAAAATCATTACTGACATCTGGCACAAAGAAAAAAGTACATCAATATCTATGTTATATGTTCTGTTCATAGAGATCATAACTACTCTACCTTTTTATAATGATTTGCAGAATAATACCTTTAAAGTGGCCTCTCTAAAAATCTTTTCTGTCTCTGTATGTTCCAGAGAACTGATGTCTTCTAATTGCTTCAGTTCATCAATTTTAATCAAACCACGACGAGCAAATATCTGTCCAAAAATTAAAAAAAATAAAAATATGTACTCCATGTTCATATCCTGTATGTTGATATCTAATTTTAGAATAATATCATTCCTGAATTTATACAACTGCAAAAAGCTTCAATGAAAGTCAGGTCCTGAACAACTGAAAAGGAAAACAAAACCTTTGCAAAGTACCTTTCGTATATATGCATGGGACCTGGCCAGTGTTTAATGCTAGAAGTCTGTGACTGTAAGTATATTACAAAGTGCTATTGCATTTGAGTTAATTACACATTTATTTGTGGAAACACATCTCCACTTTGCAGTAAAATTTTGGAATACGGACAGAACTCTAAATATATATGATCTGATAATAAGTAACAATATTTAAATAAATATTTCCCATTTGATTGCATCTGAAATGCTGCATAAGGCAAATCAGAATACCTCTCCATGAATGCTGGCTTGACAATCAAAATAACACTGAGAAACTGCCGTATATAGGGTGGCTCTCCATGTCAAATAATGCACAGATAAGAGTGGAATAGATGATTCCATGCATATGCTGGCCCACAGCAAGTATTCCAGGACCTGTATAGAAGAAATCTAATTTCAAAATGAATGCATTTTAACCTACATAAGCATGCTGCCTATTACTAAAGGACAGATACAAAAAACTTACCCTCACCTGGTAGGACAAATTGAAAGAGGGTAGAAAAATCACAGAAATTTTGTTAATTTTTAACGTTTTATAAACTAAAAAGCATTCCACCTGCATAGTATTGGTTTTATCCATCTTAAACTGTGGTCAAGCACTATTTTAGCCTCCAAGCTATCTTAACCACTCCAGTTCACTATAGTCTTGCCACCAGACAAAGATCCTGCCCTTCTCTCTCATCTGCTCTTGAGAGTTATCCCTCCCTTTTTTGGCAGCTCTAGTGATCAGTTTTCAACAGGATCAGTAAGCTTATCTGAGATGCAATGGAGTCTGTCTTTTGTGGTGAAAACCTGTGCTTAATTTATACCCATGGAAGTCTTGGCTCCTAACTTGCAGGGCAACATAGTCATTGCAGCAGTCTAATTTTAATAATTAGTCCTTCTCGACTGTATCTGTATCTTCCTCTTACTGTTTTCTTGGGCCAGCTGCTCCCTGAGGTACATAAAATGTGCAGAACCTTTGTCCTAAATTAAGCCAATATACAAATTTTCTTTCGGTCTGAATTTCAAGAATCGGAAATGCTCATGATTAATTCCTCTGTTTCCTGTATAGTGGACACCTGAGTATACTAAAGAAGGTGCTAAATCACTTCTGGTTTTAATAGGAGATTCAAATAGATTTTTTTAATAGAAGATTCAAAAAGAAGATAAAAAAATCTTTCCTGCTCAGTGCAAGATTAATAAAACAACACATAAGAAAATATATTGTATTAAGGCTGATTCAAATTCTGTTCAAGTTGTAGGAGAAAAAAGAAAAGCTAAGACAAACAAAAACTACATTCAGAAAAAAAAAAAAGGTGTGGGGGGGGGGAAGGCCAGGTTATTTTTATCAAGTATTCACAACTAAAACCCTAGCCACCAGATGTCAGCATATTTCCACATTTTAAGAAACAAAAGACCATTTCTTGAACATATATAGCTGTCCAAAACAAAGCACCTGGAATCCTCTGAAACAGACTAACATATGGCAGCTCAATGTCCAGCAGACATTAGAATGGGCTCCATTCCACAGCTGAGGAAGGAGCAGACTCAGGAAGGCATGAGGGCTTAGAAATCAACCACTTTGAAACACAGATATTTTATTTCCTTGTGAAAAAGTACTACTATTGGCAATGTCAGTGAAATTGAAAAGTCAGGGTACAGTGTTATACAAAACTCGGGTGCATTTTCTAAACTTCTGCAAATTTTACAACCCTTTCTATTTCTTTTGCTGTACCTTAGCAGACTCACCCACCACCATCAAATGTCTGCATATGGTGTAAATATGGATAGTACCTGCAAAGATAAATTACAATAAACAAACAGGTAAGTTCTATAATCCTACATGAAATTTGCTATGCTAAGCAACTCAATCTTTTTCTTATTATCCGGGTTGTTACTTCCAGAGAAGAACAATTTAATGACTTTTCATTAAACAAATGAAACACTAATGATTGTTCTGTAAAACCTTCTAATTTAGAGACAATGAAACCATTAAATTCTTCTGCAATATTAGTTTCAAAAGTATCTACATAGTGAAGCAGTATAATCATGAGATTTCATGAGAATGAAATCCTAAAAATTTACTGAATCAAATTTTTACTCAGTAACTGCTAGAGAGACAAAGCTTACTTTCATCTCCAAATGCCAGGCCCTTTAAAACAAAATACTACCTCTCCTCACAGACCTTACCTTACATGATTCTTTCAGTCCATCATAGCAATGTCCTGGCAGACACCACCACTATTATGTGATATTAAGTATGATAAGTGACATGAAGAAAATTGAAAGCTAGTAGTTTCCAAGAGCATCAAAATGACTTAGAAATAAAAACCTGTCAAAAATGTATTTGACTTAATCAATGTCATAAAATTTTCAAAAAGCAGTCTTAGAAGTATAAAAGACACTGCAGTTCTGGGAGACAAAAAAAAAGCCTATTCTTCCATCTGTATGAATGTTCAAAAAGGGACACCTGTGGCAGCAGGAGGCATCACAATGTCAACTGTCATAGCCAGAAGGGTGTTATTATCCCAATAAGCTCAAATGGAGCAAGTATTAGGAAGATTTATTTTTATCAGTCAAATGTGTAATGAGGCACAAAATCTATTGTCTGAAATTGCAGAAAAATGCTCAGGAACTAGAGAAAATCTGAGTTACTGCCTCCTTCTAATTAGACCAGACTATTGGCTAGGATTGGTATAGAGACCTGTCCCATACACAGACAGTGGGATGTAAGAATAGCAGGTGAGTATATATTTTAATTTTAATTCTTCTCCCATAGAAACATACAATCAAAAAACACACCTCAAATGTAGGGACTGAGGGCAATAGGAGTCCCAGCAAAACAAAAGGATAAGAATTTTGACCACTCATAGCTCAGAGAAAGTATATTTTTCAAAATGAAAGCAAGAAAATGTTATCTCCTCAATTTATATTGTGACAGCTGACCATAGTAGCTCAGTTGGTCAGAGCATGGTGCTAACAATGCCAAAGTTGTGGGTTCAATCCCTGTATGGCCCATTCACTTGAGCTGGACTTGATCCTTGTGCAGCCCTTCCACTTCAGAATATTCTGTGATTCTGTAAAATTCATATTAGTCTGTTTATTTTTGACTAAATAACATAGCCTTTCAAAGCAAAAATATACTGTTGTTGTTCCTGAAATTAAAATCTTGATAAATCATTCTCTGTGTATCTAGTTTGCAGCAGTTCCATTCTTTTCTCAATTTTTCCCTAATACAAGCATTTACAAGCAGCACCCTGAAATCTTACACATAGATCAAAATTCTCAAGTGCCATATGATATTTTTAGAATAGTTTTATTATCAACTCTTCCCTTCAAAGGACTTTCAAAAATACAAAGACGTAATGGCAGACAATAATTTTCTACTTAGATCTGCAATCTCCTTTTCAAAAAGAAAAGCCAAAACCTAACTACAAGCAAGCAGAAAAACCTCCAAACCAAAACCAAAACAAGAAACAACAAAAAAAATCACCAACCAAAAAAACCAAGCCAAAATGAACCCATCAAAACAAACATTTTATTGACAGAAAAATCTTGAGCGTTTTTTTGTTAATCAGGATTTACTCCAGAAATGTCCTTGCTTTTGATTTTATTAGTATTCTTAAGCACAGTTATGGTGAAAACGTTGGTGCTTTTACAACAGTGCACCTGAAAATGTATACTGTGTAAATCTTAATTTTAAAATCCTTTCTATTAGAAAAACAAAAAATTAAAAAAAAAATTCCCTACTGTGACTGAAGACTAAATTGAGATTTATTCATGACCCTTAGGTTGACCTTAAAGAGTATAAAGAGTATAAAAGTTTCCCTTCACAGCTTTGCTTAGCAAAGAAATGTAAATGGAAAGCCTGAGGTACCATTGTAGATAAGCCAACATAAATTCTCCTGAGGTAGAGCCACTTGCATAGTGAGTCGTAATGAGGTCAAGACATTGAGACAAGTCTGCAGGGACTCTTGATTCTGAAGATTTCTGTCTCTGCTGCAAACCATCTGATAAATGCAAACATTTCTCGCTTGCAAAGCATGGAACTAAAACACATAGAAATATACAAAAAGTTAATTAAAATATAAGCATATGTCAGTTCATATGAGCCAAGTACAACAACATGGTGAGTAAGAAAAGATTAGGCATAATAGCAAAAAAAAATCAGCATGACATTGAACTGAGCATTAGAATATGGAAAAAGTGTTAAAGTACTCCAGGGTTGCTGTACCATTAACCTGAGTCAGTTTCCCCTGTGTCACAGGATGAAAATACACCTAGTGCACTAGGAGTGCTGGAAGGGATGTAGGGAGAATGAGGCATTAAACTGCTATTCAAAGAATCTGGCTTTGACACTTGGCTTCTCTGTAGATGTCTTCCTTAAACTAAGGCAAGTTTAACTTTTCTACACTTCTCCATCTCTATCACCAATATCTTATTTCTCACTCTCATCTGTTGCTTTTCTCTTCCACAGATGGATTTTTCATTCTCTTCCTTGTAATACCTAAGACAATGTGACCTCAGTCATGCCTGGACTACAGCATCAGCCAAACAAACATGAAAAATTGGGCTAAGTGGGACATGACCAGTCAGTACCTACCAATCTCTCAAAAGCCTCCTTACCCGATAACATTTGAAATTGTATTGAATTAACTGTATTCCGTTAATTCACTGAAGCTGGACGTTTCTAGCCCTGAAACACTATTTCTTAGTGTTACATTAAAAATAAAAAAGCTAACTGCAGGAACATGGCAAAAAAAATTATACCTAAAGCCTTTAGATCATTTGACATATTATCATTTTCCATTTCCAATTTTAGAGATCATTGCCAAACTAGATTCCATATCTGAAAATGTAAGGAAATCTCAGTCTGTAAAGGCTAAGTTACAGAACAGGCATTTTAGTATAGACTTGCAATAACATTTGGCAGTAGGATATGTTCAAGGTCTAGGCAGACATACAGAAAAACAGAGGAGAGAATCTCTGGAACTTCAAATTTATTTACAAAACATTTTTAAAAATGTATTAACACAGTCCTTGATCATATTCTTTCTAGGAAGCTGAACCACATTTTAGAAACAAAAAAATAATCCAAACCAAGTATCTCTTCTATCATGGTATCTGCTTCTAGCATTTAAGCAAACTGTCTGCTTTCATCTCTTCACTAAACACGTATTTACACTCTTACTCAAGGATATGAATTTGATTAGCTCAATACACAGGAGCTGCCTACCATTTCTGTCATTGTTCTTGATCACAAGTAACTTGCATCAGTTAATTCAAAATACCCACCATGTATTAAAGTAGAGCTTCTCAGTAAAAAATGCCTTAAAATAAAATATAACATGTTTTAGCATTCCCCCTATATCAACTGAAACACTTTCTTCCACAAATAACAAAAGGAATACTGCAAGTCCCTACCTTGATAAGCAATTAACACAAAAGGATTCCAACACGTTCTTAAGGTCACTCAGCTTCCTAGAGTTTAAAGCACTTGGAAAACTATTCCGTATTCTGCCCTTTTTTTTCATAGTGAGCAAATAAGCTATAAAAAACATAACACTGTTTTTCTAACTGTCATGACCTTTTATTACAAGTAGTATTTTGCACACTTGTGGTACAAAATACAGGAGAATGTTTTAATTGTCTTGCATTCTGCCTGATTCTTAGATAATACAATACAGAAATTTCCAAAATTGCAGGACATTTATCAAATTTTGCCCACATCCTGATTCTGACAGTGGATAATAGCAACTGTTTCAGAGCAAAAACTGCTGTAAGCAGTTACAGAACACCACATTCAGAGAAAACTGCTGTTTTAACACTAAGTTGGTGGTGGTTGGCTTCTGCCACAAAAGCATTAGGCACTTATATCCTCTTAAAAATAAACACCAACTCCAGATGTTCACCTCATACATATGATCATTAAATCTCAATGCAATCTGTATCAACAAACTATTAAAGATTAGTTAATGTTAATATATAATTATTATGAAGTATATTTGTGGAGGATAAAATGGGCTACTCACTTTGAACTGTGAATGTCTTTGATCAGAAAAATTTAAAAACCCACAACCTACCGTAAGTGCTGCCTTTTCATCTCTGACACCATTTGGAAAAAAGGTGGATTTAAAGCAATGCACATCATCCATGACATCATCAAGGTTTACAGAAACAAACTTCTGAAGATATCTTTCATAGCACTGTAGAAGTGCCAACTTATATTCCTGAAAAAAAACATATGTTCTTTTTATAGTTTGTATATTGCATATCTATTTCTATAAAACATGTGGTTTCTTATTACCTTTATGAAAAAAGTATTTAGGTGAAAGAGCAACAGGAAGTAAAGCACTACAGCTTCATACAAATATCCAGCAGTGTAGTGTGAACACTCAACATATGAAAGGTTGAAATACTTAAAAGAATGGCTTGTGCTTTGCAAGTTTTAGTGAGTTTTGTTTATTCTAATCATAAATATGACATATCAGAGAACAATTATAAAGCAGGGTCCTGGGCTACTGTAATAAACAGTTGCTGGAATACAGTTTTACAACAGTAATGACAATAATACTACACTTCAGAAAAAAGTACTTCATAAAGTAGTTTATAAGCAATATACAGATATAATCACTTCTCTCTTCCTTGCTTCCATGTTGTCAAAGGTCTTTTTATTTTTTTTGTAAAACAGATAGAAAGAGTAAGATGCATTAAAAAAGATATAAAGAACTGAAAACCGGAATTTACATATGGCCAAGAAATCAGCATTAAAAGACCAGGAATTGCCCTGGGTCTTTAAGAACTGTTAACAAAGAGGATGTTGAGCCTTATGTCTCATTCCAAATACAGCTCTCCTGCAGCAGGTCAAACCACTCTAAAAGCATGCTGACTCTATGGTTCAGTTCTGACTCAGATCTGGAAGTGACACTTACTGAATCACCACCACCACTTCCTTCAGCAAGGATTACATGTAGATTTCTCTACTAATTTCACTAATTCTAGCACACACACTAAATAAATTCTTGAGGAAAAAGTAACTAATTTCTGCAGGTAAAAATGATCCTTTAATATTTAATCACACAACATTCTTATTTCTTTGCACTCCCTTATTTTCTTCAATATAAATTCCTTCCACCACAGTGACACTTAAATTTTTAATCATCTGAGGAGTCTAACTCACATGGCCCTATTGTCCTAATTGCTGTGTGAAAGCAGAAGCCATATGTAGAAACTTTGACTTCCCATGGACAGCTATGGGCAGTCACTTGTGTAATCCAATAGGTACATTCAGGCTGTGATAACTCTTAGGCCATGTATCAGAATACCATTAAGATAGTTATTGACACATAACAAAAAGGTACATTCTCTCCTAAACAGTTTAAAATATGTGTGTATGACCAAAGATAACAGGCAGATACAGGCAGAGTGGGAGGCAGGGAAAAAACAAGTCAGTGCTGATCATATGATGACTAATGGACTAAGCAATTTCCAGATATATGACTTAATGAATTTAGGTGTGTCCTTAAATATACATAGCAGATGTATTATAGGAAGGACTCTAAAGGCATAAAAAAAATACAGGAGGAGGACAGAAAGCTAAGTGGGTGCCTATCCACTGATTATGCATATGCAGTAATTATTTTTAAGGACTACATGTAATTAAGTATTATATATTGTGCAGGTTAAAATTTAAAATATTCAACACTGGTTGTCAACTAGGAGTCAAGAGGGGCACTTATGAAATAGGCTTTACCCTACCTATCACAGACCTTGGTTTTACACCACATTCATCCTTCCCATAATGCATTTGAAATTTGCGGCCTCCATCCCTTGTTGTTTCTATTTATTTCTTTTCAGGGGAAAAAACAGAATGAAAACTAGGTTTTCATTCTAAAATTAAGTTAAAGAAATGCACTTAAAAGTGGGAGCTCAAAAAAAAAGCTGAAAATATTAGGCTGGCCAGCAAAACAAATTCTTCAACAACACCAATAACTTTACTGTAGAAAAACACATTATA